ATATTTATTATTCCCACCACCTGGCGCAGATATTTTGTATTTTTTATTTATTTTTTGCACGATGTTTAAAGAGCATTTTCAGCGGTGCTTGGCGCCGATGCTTGCGGTGCCGAGGTTGACCGTGCGCGCGTTTGTGTGTGCAGGTGTGGTATTAGTAATCCATTGTCAGTAAATCGCACACACACACACACACTGACGTCGCTCTGCTTTCACAACACGTGCATTCGGCGGCAGTAGCACTCATGCGCAGTCAGTGTTTTGCAGACGGTCNCGCTGTTCCCCTTTTTCCATGCACGGCAATCCTCGGGTTGATTGTGATGACGACTTTGGTCTTGGTGATAGTGGTGATGGAGGTTGTGAGGTCCCAAAAAATGTGATTGGTCAGTCAGACTTTATTCAGCATCTCGTGTTGCGTTACGTTGTCACCATCATGTGCAGCAGTTTAAATTATAATTTGCTTATTGGCATCAAAAAAAAAAGAAAGAAAGAGTGATCTCATGTCACACGACTGTTTCTCCATTCTGAGGGTCTTGTGATCGATTCCAGACGCAGATGTGTATTTGTCATCCTCCTGGCAGCCTTACTGTCAGGTATGTGGAAAAAATCTCTAATGTAAAGTGCTTTGAGGCAGTCGTCAGCAACAGAGGGGTAATATATAGTAGTATAAGCACAGACTGGCTTAAGAAATATGTGCGCTCATGAGCGGCATTATAAGTTATATGTTGTTCTGCCAGATTTTAAAAAAAATAAATAAATTGAATAAGAAATACAACTGTGTTTCCAATGCACTCCCATTCCGACGTTGCCACTGACACCTTGCAGACCAACTTCCCGCCTCATTACACAGCTTTACTTTTGGAACCATAGGCTACATCAGTGTCTTATATAAGGTCCCTGAGCAGACATGTTCTCTCTCTTTTCCCGTCTCCGCACTTGACAGCCTGCAGATAATTCCCCGCTGGAAGAAACGGCACACAAATATTGCCGCCGTTTTTGTTTTTCCGTAGCTTTGTTTCTTTGTTAAACATGTTTCTTGGACAAACTGCAAAAGAAAACATTAAATAGTTTTATTTTATGTAAATATATATATATAAATATATGTAAATATATATATTATTTATATATAACAGCTATTTTTCATTTTACTTTTAAAAGTGAATGAGTCCATTAGTCAAATATACGTGTAGTTTTTGACACATACTGCATATATTTTCACGTAAAAATACCCTGTATCCCAGTCACCGACAAAGGTTTAGTATTACTCAGGTATTGCATCACATATTTCACCCCCTCTTCCATCCGCCTGTTCCACTTTTGTTGAAGAGAAAGAAACAGCGACACAGAATTATGAGCAGACTACAAAAGAAAATAGGTCTCGGTTGCAACGAGAGTCAATACAAATACAAACACGTAACGTAAATGTTAACAAATAAAAAACGTCGGCTGACCTGATCTGTTTGAGTTATTCATTTATCAACGTTTATCATTACAATACCTGTCAAAAACCTTATTTAAATCGTATTAAAAAATTTAATAAAATATTTTGGATATTTTTATATCACACACCGGAGCCGACACATTGAAATACATTGCAGTAAAATAATTGCAATTATTCAATCAATAACCTACTTCTCCTATACCAACAAGAAAGTGATGAGCTGCATTTTAAAGCTTGCCGCTTAATTCATGGTTTAAAGCTCTACAGTTAATTTGAAGTGAAATGGTAATGATTGAAATACCAACTTGATGTTTACTTGTGGGATTTACCCACGCGACAACAACCAGCTGCCACAAAACTGTCTTTTTTTGTTGTTGTTGCAAGAATTTGTTTTCTACAAAGTATTAAAAAAAACAAGCTTTGTTTTCTACAAAGTATTAAAAAAAAACAAGCTAACAAACAAGAAAATTAGCCGATAGTTGCTGATCCCCATTTCTGTTATAGGTTTTATTGTTCATTCTGCATCATTAAAGGATCCTTTTCATCACTCAGGATATTTGAGTAGCACCCACCAGTTCAGCCTGACATCTGAAGTGCCTTAGCGAGGAAAAAAAAAAAACATGTTCCCATAGCTCTCCCACGTCAGCACAAAGGCATGTTTGACTGGGCTGCTGCCAGTGTGAGGCGTACATAGAACAGCACTGCTGGAAGAAATCTAAGATCCTGCACTTTACACCAGAGCTATTGTTCCCGCCCCCCGCCCTGCCTTTCTTCTCCTCTGTCATCTCATGGCTGCTCATTCTTCGTCTCCTGCCGTTCGTGGGTCGTGATGTTCGTTGGCACTTTCTTTGGGTCTGCGTATTCACGACGTATTATCCCACCGGAACAAGCTCTCATCAGCATGTGCTTCAACGAAGTGGCTTTCCCTTTGTTTATGTGTCGTAGTCACACCATTGCCTGGACATTTTTTAAAAAATCGCAATCACTCCTAGATTTTTATTTGCCCCTTTTTGGTTTGGATGTTTCTTTCTTTGTGTGTTATCTGTGACTGGAGGCTTGTTATCATTCAAGCATTAACGCAGTGGTACACTTATGTCCAGCATGCCATATTCCATTGGAAGCCCCTCGCCGACACCCGCGGGGAGGCCCTCCCCACTATTTGAGAAGTAGTGCCTTAAACGATCATAACATCAATCACACTACGTTTCGTCAAATATATATATAAATATAGTCTTCTGAACACTGCAGTCATTAGTGCCTTTTTGCCCCTTGCTACAGGTTTTGCATGATTTTGTATGGTTTTAATCGCCTGGGAATTTAAGCAGTTGAAAAAGGGGGGAAAAAGTGTATTAATCTGAAAGGTTTGATTGGGAATTTAAGCAGTTGAAAAAGGGGGAAAAAGTCTATTAATCTGTTTGAGTTCTAGTTCTGCCGCTGCTGCAACTGTCACATAAAGGGGATGATGTCCAGACCGGAGTTCAGTGTGAAACATGCACACAACCTCTACAGTCCAAAGTACTCGATCATCTTAGATCTTAAAACAAAGGCTTTAGCATAAAGCCACTTGCTCCATATTTTAGTTCTGGCAGGAAGAACTGACCCAGTTACCTGCATTTACTCCCTCGATGGTTCTTAGCAAAAAAGTCCCCGCAGTAAATAACAAGCGCTATTTTTATATATCAGGTTTGAAGAGTTCGGTCTTACCGACAAATGGTGCTTTGTCTCGTTAGCTGAAATGTTTAGCCTTCAGTCCTCTTTAGGACCTGGTAGATTTCAAATATTACTGCTGTCGACGAACCCGATCAAGCTAAATCGGAACTGTTTCAGATCCTTGTGGTGAAGCGAGACTGAAATGGCAGTTCTAGTTCAGTACCTGAAAAGAAATAGACTTAACAATAATAAATAGTAAATGCTGTTCATGAATACAATTTTTGTATTTTGTTTGTAATAACTTGCATTTGCGTGCGGTGGAAAACATCCGTAATATAAAAGTTTAAAAAAAGTTTAAATCTACCTAAAGATTA